TAATCATATTATCTTCCAAGCAAACAAACTAAAATCTCTAAACCCTAATACCATATGCAACAAAACAAAGAGAATTCCATTAGTTATTAGCAAGTTACTGTTTTGGCACTAGCATGTTCCAAAGAGAACTACAGATGAGAAGGACCAACTAAATGTGATAGCAACACCCAATTTAACAATAAACATTTAATCATAATCGAGCAAAATAAAAAATTTAATTTGTCCATTTCAAAATATCTATGGGGATTTCATATTAAAATTTCATCATTGACCATAATAAAAGGATGGCCCAACAAACAGTCACGCTAGTCTTTCTTAGCCATTTATTATCACTGAGCATAATAACACGAGGCCATGATTTAATTTCAACAACAGTGTGCTAGCTTCATCATCAAACATAATAATATCATCGTTAAGGAAATTACTACTTTGTCATTGAATAAGAATTTCAAATTTTAGTGTCATCAATAAATAGGTATAGAAGGGTAACTGCTCACTACAGATAGGGAGAGGCGGAGGATAGACGATCCTAGCTTCAAAGTGCAGAATGAGTCAGTATTGAGGTGCAATGGTGAGGTGTCTAGGAGGAGGAGGAGGAGGAGGAGGAGGAGGAGGAAAGGGAGGACGAATAGGAGGATGGGGGAGTAAGACATGGCATAGCGAGCTAGGGAAGCAGAGAAGGTTAGTGTTGGGTAGGAAATAGCTGTTGTCCGGGACAAGTGGAAAAAGCTACACATTAGGATGAGGAGGAGGCAAGCACTATGTCAGTCATGAATGATGAACTTGAATGTCTAATATGTGCTGAATTTGGTTACTTGTTATCAATCAATAACTTTGATATAGGGCTGGATAGAGATAAACTTTCATTGACCAACAATATAGATAAACATGACTAGGAGCATATGTACTTGATCAAATGATGCTTTCATTTTTAGTTCCAATGATAAATTTGAGCAAAAGTAGATGAACTTGTTATGATCAACTCGCATGATATACTTTCACATTTACAATGAATGTGTATATGTGTTATGCCATCTATATTTGCAGTAAGTAATCAATACAATAATTGTCGTAGCTAGACTTGTGTGCCTTTGTTGTTCTTTATTTTGTTATGTTACCGAATAATAATATGAAGACATGGCAAGTAAAGAATTTCATCATATAAGAAAAACTCCAGTATTTATTACTTCATATTTGTGATAAATCATCGAATGGCACAAAATGTGTGTTAGATATTTAGTCAATTTCAATATCATTTTAATTAGAAAAAGATTAAGAACAAGTTTGTGGCCTCAGATATGTGCATGTGTGATTCAAGTGTCATGAACATATACATGACACTAACCATCAAGATCTTGATCACTATAAAAGAGGACGAATTGCAACATACCCAGTGGCGCCAGAGCCGGTTACACTAGTCGACGTAGCACTTGTTGTTGTAGTTGTTCCGCTCGATGCAGTGTAGAAATGTAGCAGTGCCAATCTCCTGCCACCATAAAGAAGAGAAAGTCGTGGATCGATTGGTTGAGCAGTCCCGTAATCGCTCCCCAAACACCTAATGGTTGCCCCTCACCTGTGCAGATGAACGCAGACAACTCGGTTTCGGAGGCCTGCTCTTCCTATTCCCATGCTCGCAGGAACCGGGACGGGAAGGCTAGATTGCAACGGAAGCGTGGAGACTTATGCGCGTGAGAGACTAGAGATGCTCTTAGCTACCACCACTCATAAGGTGTTCCCTAGAAGTGGAGGCTTGTGGCTTCACTATCCCAATAGGAACTTAGACACGGCATCTACTTCCTCCAAGCGTTGCAACTCTATCTATAAATATACACAGCCTGAGGCTGAATTTACACGTTCATTCTATTATTAGGCCAGTTCCTATTGTCTACATCTTTATCATTAACATCATAGTGGAGCAAAGCCATGGAGCCACTACACCCTTGGTGCTTGTATATTATGATTCTAATCTTCGTCCTCCTAGCTCTAGTACTCCTCGATCTGCATTGTCTACGGACTCCACCTTGTGCGCCAGGGACAAGGTTGCCGCCAGGACCATGGCGGCTCCCGGTAATTGGCACCCTCCACCACCTAATGACCTAGAACCCACTGCTCGTGCACCGTGCCTTGGCTAGGGGAGCTGCACGCTGTCGTCGTCTCGTCGGCCGACGCCGCACGCGAAGTTATCAGGGAGAACGACACCAACTTCGCCACGCGGACCATGACCGCGACCGTGAGAGCCACCATCGGAGACAAGGTGGGGCTCGTCCTGTCTCCGCACGGCGCCATGTGGCGGAGGCTCCGCAGGATCTGCACGACGGAGCTTCTGAGCGCAAGGCGCGTTCGATCCTTCCGCTCCATCCGGGAGGATGAGGCCGCGCACCTCGCCCGCGCCATCGCCATGGACGCGCGCTCCGCGATCGCGCCCGGCGAGCGTGAGCGTCAGTTGATCAACGTCAGCGAGCTGGTATCTCGGTTGGTGTCCGACACCGTTCTGCGCGCCATCATGGGAGAGCGGTTCAGGTGGCGGGACGAGTTCATGGCCACTCTGGCCAAGGCCATGACGAGGGGCGCCGAGTTCAGCGCGGGGGACATGTTCCCGTCGTCGAAGCTCCTGCGAGCCATTAAGGGCACGGTGAGCGAGTCCAAGGCGCTGAACGCCAAGCTGTTCGAGCTGGTGGATCGCGCCATCGACCAGCGCCGCGGGAGGAAGGCTGGAGCGGCTGCCGAAGACGGCGCCAACGACGCATTGCTCGATGTGCTTCTGCGGTTGCAGCCTTGCAGGAACACGATGATGATCTCGACTGCCCTCTCACCATGGCGACCATAAAAGCTGTCATCCTGGTAGTACTACTATCACCATTATTGGCAACATGAGGAAGATTTATTATTTCTTAATTAATGAATCGTTACGCGACACTTCTCTGCAGGACATGTTTGGGCCAGCAGAGAAGGTAAAAGGGAGGTGGAGGGCTTTGAGTGCACTCTTGCTTTAGTGTGGTCAGACAAGGTGCCATGGACGATGGAGTGGGAGGGAAGCAGCAGTGGGGAAGAAAAAGAGGAGGGGAGAGGGAGATGTAGGCGACAATGGTGAGAAAAGGTGGGAGAAAGAGTGTCTTATATGTGGGCCGGCGCAACGGGAAAAACCACCAAACTAGGTTAGGGTGGGCCTAAATTGAATGGTATTGATAATTAAGGTATCAAATTTACCCAGTTTTGTAGGTAGGAGGTCCAAACTCAACAAAAAATCATTGGCGGCTAGCGCTGTTCGAAGGGAAGGCATGACATGAAAATGGTTCTAATCAATTATATTTGTTCATCTTGCTTCCCATAAGGCCATAACGGTCTACTTGCGTGGCTGAGAAATTCGGTGTCAATCAATCAATGTGTGACTGAGAAATTGGTTAGATTAATTTGTGCGACTGAGAATTTGGTGTGCCGTTCACCCAAATAGGGATGTTTTTACACTTGTCCATCTGTAGTTGTGCCACTAGAAATGCAGTCCTAGGTCCTTAGCTTGCGCCAGCTCTATGGGCTACTTTATTTATTGCTCCCTTGAGGTGGATTACTGAACTCCATTGAGCATTTTTAACCAATTATTACAATAATTTCCATGTTGAACTGAACCTTATACAAAGCTGACATATATATTTTTTGACAGGAGACCTGCATCCTTTTATAGTAAGGAGAATTAAAGTTTGAGTACAATGCATGCCGGCGGAAGCCGAAGGCCCGAAGCCATAGCAGGTAACTGGCCTATTAGGATATACATTTTGCAAAAGTTCTGGTGCCCGGCAAATACAGGAGTTCAGTAATTCTTGAGGGATCACAGGGAGATGCTGTTTTGTAGGAGCTTCTGCTTACAATATGCTCCCTCCGTTCTTTGTGTTTGTTTTTTACCCTCGAACACATGTAAGAAATGTTTTGCAGTTGTATCGAGGGAGGAAGCTGCGATACTGAGTTTTGCATTTAAAAAAACGGATGCGTATGGTACAAAGTGTTCCTATCCTATCCATATGGTGAATTTTTCTCCCTAAATGCCTATGGTGACCGTGATGACGACACTATAGCACAACCAAACTAGTGTCAGACATGAGTCGATTAAAGTACCAAAATACCGATGGAATCAGTCGGTAAAGATTCCAAATAGATGATCGATTGGTATTCCTAAAATAGACCTCAAACTATTAGTCTATATCTATCTACGCAATAGCGTCTAACAATCGATCGGTATAAGTGTTAGGTCAATATAACTTTATACCGACACCACTATCAGCGACACGTAGGGGGAATCAGCATAGTCTATACCGGTCGGCCGTAGGTCGCTATAATGGCTTGTACTGATACAAAAGGAATCTTTATGGATGGGTTATGGCATGGTAGGAAATAAAATAAGTATGGTAAAATACAACGGTAATTAGATAGGAACTTTATTAGATATGTTTTACGGTAATCCTCCAAGAAAAGAACAAACGAGAAAAGAACATATAAATATGTCTCATGATAATCCTCCTAAAAGGAACAGACAAAAATAGGGACATTTTTTTTATTTCTACCAAGGCCAAACAATAGAGAACGGATCAAATACTCCAATTGTTGTAGCTTAGTCTCTAGCACATGGATTATACCATGAAGAGGTCGTTCAGGTTGCAGCCAAGGCTTACCAAAATTTTTATGCACATCAAATGCTACAAGTGCACTCACATCAAATTTAGTTATGCCTAAAAATTTCGTAGCGAACAAGTTAAATATGTCATGTACTTTGTGGTTTTGATAAGAGTTTAATGCACCAGCGGCCCTCAAACATAAGGTGTTCCCTAGAAGCGGAGGCTTGTGGCTTCACTATCCCAATAGGAACTTAGACACGGCATCTACTTCCTCCAAGCGTTGCAATCTATCTATAAATGTACACAGCCTGAGGCTGAATTTACACATTCATTCTATTATTAGGCCAGTTCCTATTGTATACATCTTTATCATTAACATCATAGTGGAGCAAAGCCATGGAGCCACTACACCCTTGGTGCTTGTATATTATGATTCTAATCTTCGTCCTCCTAGCTCTAGTACTCCTCGAGCTGCATTATCTCCGGACTCCACCTTGTGCGCCAGGGACAAGCAGGTTGCCGCCGGGACCATGGCGGCTCCCGGTAATTGGCACCCTCCACCACCTAATGACCGTGAAGAACCCACGGCTCGTGCACCGTGCCTTGGCCGTCCTCGCACGCCGCTGGGACGCCCCCGTCATGTACGTCCGGCTAGGGGAGCTGCACGCCGTCGTCATCTCGTCGGCCGACGCCGCACGCGAAGTTATCAGGGAGAATGACACCAACTTCGCCACCCGGACCATGACCGCGACCGTGAGAGCCACCATCGGAGACAAGGTGGGGCTCGTCCTGTCGCCCCACGGCGCCATGTGGCGGAGGCTCCGCAGGATCTGCACGACGGAGCTTCTGAGCGCAAGGCGCGTTCGATCCTTCCGCTCCATCCGGGAGGATGAGGTCGCGCACCTCGTCCGCGCCATCGCCACGGACGCGCGCTCCGGCGAGCGTCGTCATCTGGTCAACGTCAGCGAGCTGGTGTCTCGGTTCGTGTCCGACACCGTTCTGCGCGCCATCATGGGCGAGCGGTTCAGGTGGCGGGACGAGTTCATGACAACGCTGGCCAAGGCCATGACGAGGGGCGCCGAGTTCAGCGCCGAGGACCTATTCCCGTCGTCGAGGCTCCTGCGAGCCATTAACGGCACGGTGAGCGAGTCCAAGGCGCTGAACGCCAAGCTGTTCGAGTTGGTGGATCGCGCCATCGACCAGCGCCGTGAGAGGAAGGCTGGAGCAGCTGCCGAAGACGACGGCGCCAAGGATGCACGCGACTTGCTCGATGTGCTTCTGAGGCTGCAGGAGCACGACGATGATGTCGACTGCCCTCTCACCATGGCGACCATGAAAGCTGTCACCCTGGTATATAGTACTACTATCAACATTGGCAACACGAGAGAAGATTTATTTTTTCTTATATATGACCTCATGAATCGTTACGCGACACATCTCTGCAGGACATGTTTGGGACCCTGGAAGCAGTACAACATCGACGACGATCCAATGGGCCATGTTAGAGCTGATGAAGAATCCAAAAGTGATGCGGAAAGTGCAACAAGAGATACGCCTTGTCCTGGGATGCAAGTCTCGGGTAACAGAGGATGACTTGACCAACCTGAAGTACCTAAAGCTTGTCGTCAAAGAAACACTAAGGCGCGCTGCACCCAGCAACATGCGTACTCTTCCCAAAAGCGAGCCAGGAATCTTGCAAGATCCTTGGGTATGAAGTATGATGTGCCCAAAGGCATGCTCATGGTCATGAATGTCTGGTCGATTAACAGGGACCCAAAATACTGGGATGATGCCGAGGGTTTCAAGCCAAAGCGTTTCGAAGGAATTACAGTTGATTTTCGTGGGACGGACTTCTGGTTCCTACCGTTCGGTGGAGGAAGAGGGATGTGCCAACATTGAGCTGGGACTCGCAACACTCCTATATCACTTCGACTGGCAACTCCCACCGGGGCTCACACCCGATGAGATAGACATGGCTGAGAAGTTTGGTGTCAATGTTCGCCCAAAGAGGGATGTCTACCTTAGCCCAGTCCTAGTTCTGCCACCAAACTCCACTGCGCTTCGCCTCCACTGCGTCGTCCGCCTTCCATACTCCACCTCCACCACGCCACCCGCCTTCCCCACTCCGCCTCCACCGCGCCGCCTGCCTACACCATGGGATCCGCCCACCGTGGCCGCTCCTCTAAGCCGGCGAGCCACAACGACGGATGCTCCAGCAAGCAGGCAAGGGGAGGAGCTTCGTGTGACGCCACCCCACCGGCGAGTTGTCCGCGCCGCTACCACAACGGTGAGCTCCGCGCTGCCACAAGATCCACATGCCGCCGCCGACCTCCGGGCCAGCGTCGAGCTCTGCAACGACGAGCCTCCATTCATTCAAGCTGAAAGGTGACATTACACTAAAAGCGCATGTTGTAAGTATATGTTTCAACTGGTCCAGAAGTTTTAAAGGTACGTTGCAAGTGTTTTATATCGATGTTGCAAAAGTAGATCGAGATGTTGCACATGTTGCAATGGCTATACACATATGTTTGAAGTGTATGTTCCAAATGTTTCATCTGTTTCAGTCATATGTTATAAGTGTTTCATTTGGATATTACAAAAGTAGATCTGGATGTTGTATCGTATGTTACAAGTGTTATATCTGGATGTTTGCATATGTTTACAATGGCTACACACGTGTTTTCAAGTTTTTTCAAGTGTTTTGCAAGTGTTTCAGACGTATGTTGCAAGTGTTTCAGCTGTTTCGGACGTATGTTGCAAGTGTGTTATCTGGATGATGCAAAAGTATATCAGGTGTTGCACATGTTGCAATGGGACCCACCTGTCGTAGCCGCCTGCTACGGCTGCTGGGGCACCGCCGAGCGAGCGTAGGTGGTCCCCGCGTGCGGTCGGGCTGTGCAAGCGAGGTCTGGGCGGTGCGGCCCCATGTGGGCACGAGAAATGAGGTGCACGTGCGGGAAACGGGGTGCAGGCCCGGGCGCTAGCAATCCCCTTTTCTTAGCTATGTCTAATGAGAAGTTATATGGATCATTAATTGTAAGTATTGCCAGAAATTGGTATAAATTAAATATGAAACATATCAGGCTCTTGTCCTTTCTTATACAACTGTGGATTCCATAACCACCATTGAGAAATAAAACATGTATAGATATCCAAGACAATTTATCATGTTTTATATAGGAACAAGTTTGTTTTTGGCCCCTTTTACGTTTGACTTATTTTAAACCCCAAACTATAAAAAAAAATGATAAATTTGATAGCTCAACTATCAGTACCAATCATTTAACCCCTTGGTCTTCTTTTTGGTGTTTTTCAAGTATAGCTTTGGCATGCCTATCATATGCTCCATCTCTCCCCATACCTTGACACCTCCCTCCTCTCTATTACCACCTTCCAATAGCTATGTCTAGCATATACTAGCTTTTGTGCACTGCTACTGTTCACTCACCTCAGCTATGTGCGAACCACCAAGCCACCTCATACTTATGTGCTTATCATAGATAGTCTATTGCTCGTTACTGAAGAGATGGAGGGATACAGGAGGCTTACCATAGCCGAACTCGGCTATAACCCCTAGCTACACCTATTCAAGTTTCTGCTCGTGGCCTGCACTGCCTTGGCTAGGGAGGGGGGTGATCATGCAGACAAAGAGTGAAAGGGCACCACCACGCCATGGAGCACTATTGGCTATGGAGACAATTGCAAGGACAATCTCACCATGCACTAGATGAGGGAGAAGACGCAGGGGAGACATGATGGAGACTTGGCCCGATCTTCCGATAGGTAGGGTAAATTCGATATTGAACAACTCGACATTCATGATCTAGGTTTCCAATCAAGTATGATTCTGAGCCAACAACTTGTAACCACTTCTCCGCTGGTTATCAACCATGCACAACACGATTGACCTCATCTAGAAGGCTTTTCCTGCAAGTGAATCGAGAACACAGAACGCCAAGGATACAATCTAATATTTCAAATATAGTTGAAGTTTATCAAACTGATAGGTTCAAGTCTTCAATAGAAAGGACTAATCGACACAATCGAATAAGAACAAGAATAGGGCAATGGATTCACTATAGTCGAACTCAACGTTACAAGTGCTATGAAGAATGTTTGTTTCACGAGAAAAACTAGAACTCAACAAAACACAAACCGTAACAAAGTGGTGGCAATGAATTAATAGGTCTTAGGGGGCACATAACCCTGGACGCGCCCATTATGGGCTCCGATACGATACGTGGGCCAACAACCCAAAATACGGTGACACATCACTTGGATAGATTCTGGACGCTCACTTTTCTATGATTTTCATTGGCTCTAAAGAAATTTTGACGTGAGACCATTGGCATTGGAAAGGTTATCTCCTTAGATTTCCGTGCATAGGTAGGATGTCAAAAACTAACTCTATATGTGTCCAGGGCGACGTTTTTAACCGGGACTACTCTAGAATCCGATGTGGACTCCAACTTAAGTTGGACTGGACCTCTGTTGTGACTTGGATGCCCACACTGGTCCTCTTTGCCTCCAAGTCTTGCTTTAGTGTGGTCAGGTGTGATGCTGTGGACGATGGAGTGGGAGGGAAGTGGATGTGGGTGAAAGAGGGGGGGAGGGAGAAGGAGGCTACAATGGTGAGAAAAGGAGGGAGGAAGAGTGTCTTGCTTGTGCCACAGAAAAACCACCAAAACTAGGCTGGGTGGGCCTAAATTGAATGGTATTCGTTGTTAAGGTATCAAATTACCTAGTTTTGTAGTTAGAAGGTCAAAACTCGAAAAATCATTGCCGGCTAGTGCTATTCCAAGGCATGACATGAGAATTGTTCTAATCAATAATTATATATGTGATCTTGTCTCCCATATGGCCATAACGGTCTATTTGCGTGGTAGAGAAATTTGGTGTCGGTGTGTGTGACTGAGAAATTGGTTAGTTTAATTTGTGTGACTGAGAATTTGGTTTGCACGTTCACCCAAATAGAAATGCAGTCCTAGGTCCTAGCTTGCGCCAGCTCTATGGTTACTTTATTGCTCCTTGAGGTGGATTACTAAAATCAATTGAGCATTTTTAGCCAATTACAATAATTTTCATGTTGAACTGAACCTTGTACAAAGCTGACACATATATTTTTTGAATGGAGACCTGCATCTTTTTATAGTAAGGAGAATTAAAGTTTGAGTACAATGCATGCCGGCGGAAGCCGAAGCCATAGCAGATAACTGGCTTAAGTATATACATTTTGCAAAAGTTCCGGTACAGGAGTTCAGTGATTCTTGAGGCGTCACAGGGAGATGCTTTTTTGTAGGAGCTTCCGCTTGCAATATGCTCCGTCCGTTCTTTGTGTTTGTTTTTTACCCTCGAACACATGTTGTAAGAGATGTTCTGCAGTTGTATCAAGGTAGGAAGCTGGGATACTGAGTTTTGCATTCTAAAAAAACGCATGCATATGGTACAAACTGTTCCTATCCATATGGTGATCTTTTTTCTCCCTAATTACCTATGGTGACCAGATGACACTATAGTGCAGCCAAAAGTAGCATCAGACACGAGTCGATTAAAGTACCAAAATACTGATGGACAATTAGTTGGTAAAGACTCCTAATAGACGATCGATCGGTATTTCTAATTTAAAATAGGCTTCAAACTATTAGTCTATATATCTAAGCAATAGCGTCCAACAGTCAGTCTGTATAAGTGGTTGGTCAATATAACTTTATACCAACACCACTGTCAGTGACGCGAAGGGAGAGTCAGCATAGATCTATAACCACCGGCCGTAGGTCGCTATAATGGCTTATACTAACACAAAAGGAATCCTTATAGATGGATTGTGGTATGGTAAGAAATAAAATAAGCCCGGTAAATTACAACGGTAATCATATAGGAACTTGTTGGTATTTATTAACATACACAGAAAGATCCGCAAGCGTACGGATACCGCTGTAGCTTTCACCTAGAAATATTCCAAGTATCATATCCATAGGGAAACGTATGAAACTAACTACGGTCTAACTTAACTAATAAGGGTAGCAACAAGGTTAAGATAAACATGAGCGTAGAGAGGATAACTAAGGTTCTCTTGTTCTGACTTCGGTAAGCAAGATCTTCTACTATTCCACTGGGGACATTACTAGGGAAAGACACCAGCAGAGGATGATGTCCTTCATAACTAGGTCCTACTTAGCCTACAAACGGGAGGTAGACTATAGAGGACTCAACGAATATGTCACACTTGCGTTCTAACGCTATTTTGCGATCTACCACTGATCCGGAATGCAGGGTGTATCCACGATTAACCCAAGTCTAAGCACCACGCTTACACTTATGATTAATACTTTACTCCCCCTAGGAAGAGAATAAAGCACTCAAAAGAGTCGTGATCCTGATGAACAATATAAACAAGATACTTACTTAAATCAGAAGTTGATTACCAGAGAAGTCTCAGAGGCAAGCTCAGATAGAACTTGGATCCGCCAAGGTACAAGCCGTAGAGAGAGCACCGACAGGACGACACCTCCACTAAACTCTTCCCTCACACTCTAACTCACTATTATTTATAAGACTAGATCCTATGGAAGACTAATCTTCTCTTGATTGCTGGCTTTGATCCTGATGAGGAGGATACGAATTAGGGTTTTAGGATGTATCTCCGGAGGGGGTACAATGCCGTATGTATAGGGGGTAGCGTCAATTTTGGACCCTCGGATCAAACGGACTTGAATAAATGACGTAGATGCAATCTTTAAGGCGGTGAAAAACCGACGTAGCAACAGGAGACTGAGTGGTGGGCCCAAGGGGCCGGCCGGTCTGTAGGTGGGATGTAGCACCAGGTTTTATGGACAAAACCAGATACACACCATATGTGTGTCCAGGAATTCAATTCACACATATAGTTACAAATGAAGGGGTAATATCAAAGGCAATGCCTTAAATACATAGCGCACATATATTTGTTACAAAAGACAAAGACTTATATTACAGTATATATTAAAACTCTATTCTTCTAGCGAAGCCTCCAACACCACAGGAATCGTCAACTAGTTGATCACAAGCCTAACACCTCTTGGAAAAGTCCACTGAAGAACCTCCATCTGGTACCTATCCAGGATTTTGCCAAAGTATTGAAATAAAACAAGCGTAAGCTACTACCGCTTAGCAAGCATAACACGAGGGGATGCAGGCTCAAAAGGCTTGACACGGCTGAACTGTGGTAAGCACTTTTAGTTGGTCATATTTTATTATTAATCATAAGTTGCTAAGTTATGCTTAGGCTCCCAAATATGAATAATTAGAGATATCAACAATTTTAATCATAACCCAAACCATCCGAGTAACCAACTATTCAGTAAGGATCTAGGCCACTCGTGACCGTGAGCATGGCTGATATAGAAGTTTTACACTCTGCAGAGGTTGTACACTTTCACCATGAGTCGTGTTGCCCATATGCCCAGGTTAATTACTCCCAAAACACTTGCAAGGTGAGCAGGCAGAGTACACTATGAAGCTTTTCCCTAGTCATTCTAATAAGGAGCAGCCGCTAAGGATTCCATCTCCCAAGTGTTATGGAGTCATCTTCAAAAGTGGCACTAATACACGCAACATAGTACACACCCTGAGGATGAGGCCCATACCCATCCTGGTATGCCCCTCTTGCCCTTTTGGTAAACTGCTACAAACTAGAAAGAGCAAGGTACTAGACTAAGACCAGAGTCATGTGGTCCTCATGGTTGTACAATAAGTCCTAGGTTGTCACTTAAAGATGAGTCCTTATGGAGAGAAACTAGAGCACCCTAAGAAAAGGCCCAATGCTCTAGCCCCCTTGGTTCCATGTTGCTAAAAGTGTCTTTTAATACCATATTGCATATATCTTTAATTGCATTCTTTAATCAATATCAGTTGGAGCAAACTGAGCATACTACCCACATGTAAACCCATAGGTAAATCAAAGACATGATAATCAATATCAAGGTAAGTAGACTCCAAGCGATGCATTAACATATGCATATGAATTGAGATTGCATTAAAGTGAATAGGTAACAAGGAGCCTCATATTATACTTGCCTTAATTCAAAGTATCGCTGCTGGTCTTGATCTTCAAAGAGTTGCTCTAGATCACCAACACAAAACTCACTGTCTACTCGAG